AGCCAGAGTGCAGGCTGGGAATATCACCTAAGCCTGGAAACTCTAGGCTGTTATTAGTGGTGATCCAACCACTGCACTCTAGCCTGGACAACAGAGTCAGATCCTGCCTCAAAAAAACAAACAAGCGGCTGGGCATGATTGCTCACACCTGTAATCCTAGCACGTTGGGAGTCAGAGGCAGGCCAATCACTTGAAGTCAGGAGTTTGAGACCAGCCTGGCCAACATGGTGAAATCCTGTTTCTATGAAAAATACAAAAATTAGTTGGGAATGGTGGTGCATGTCTGTTGTCCCAGCTACTTGGGAGACTGAGGCAGGAGAATTGCTGGAACCTGGAAGGTGGAGGTTGCAGTGAGCTGAGATTGTGCCTCCAGCGTGGGTGACAGAGCAAGGCTCCCTCTCAAAAAACACACAAACAGGCATGGTGGCTCATGCCTGTAATCCCAGCACTTTGGGAGGCCAAGGCAGGAGGATCATGAGGTCAGGAGTTCAAGACCAGCCTGGCAACATGGGGAAACCCCATCTCTACTTAAAAAATACAAAAATTAGCCAGGCGTGGAGATGTGTGCCTGTAATTCCAGCTACTCAGGAGGTCGAGGCAGGAGAATTGCTTCAACCTGGGAGGTGGAGGTTGCAGTGAGCTGAGATCACGACACTGCAATCCACCTGGGAGACAGAGCAAGACTCTGTCTCAGGAAAAAAAAACAAAAAACAAAAAAACACACACACAAACACAACAACAACAAAAATCCACTTGCCCTGAGTTTTCATAGCCGAACTTTCATGAGGACAGCTCCTAAGCATGCAGCATTTCTCTTCATTTCCTTCACTCTGCCCCTGGCTAGTGCCCAGGTCAGTGCTGGTGGAGATCATTTGGCATGGAAACTATGGCAATTAAGCCAGTGAGGGCACCTTGCCCCTGAATGGCGCCAGCACCTCTGGGTTGCCATGGCAGTGCTTCAAGCTGTTGTTGAGCTCAGCGTTTGACATTCTCAGAACAGGAGGCAAAATGAAAGGAAAGAGAGAGAACACAATTGCCACCGTTTACTGAGCACCTACTCAGTGGCAGGCACCTACTTTTGTTCTCTCTTTTTTTTTTTTTTGAGACAGAGTCTTGCTCTGTTGCCCAGGCTGGAGTGCAGTGGCATGATCTCGGCTCACTGAAATTTCTGCCTCCTGGGTTTAAGTGATTCTCCTGCCTCAGCCTCCCCAGTAGCTTGGATTATAGGCGCCCACCACCACGCCCGGCTAATCTTTTTGTATTTTTAGTAGAGACGGGGTTTCACCATGTTGGCCAGGCTGGTCTTGAACTCCTGATCTCAAGTGATCCACCTGCCTCAGCCTCCCAAAATGTTGAAATTACAGGTGTGAGCCACCGTGCCCGGCCCCTACTTTTGTTTTCTAACCATCTTGGGAGATGGTTATTATTAACAAATGTATTTGAAGACGGAAGTGAAGCTCTAAGCGGATTGGCTAACTTGCTGGCAATTCTGGATTTGAACCTAAGTGAGTCTGACTCCATAACCCAGGGCTTTCTACTACACCACCCTGTTGCCATAATGTTGTCGACCTCATTCTACTATTTCCTAAGAAAGCCAGAGTATAGGCTGGCGATGTCAAATAGGCCTTCTCAGAGGAAAAGTCTCACCTGTCACCCTGGTGGTAAACTGTTCTTCTTTTGGAGATTTTTTAAAAATTCTGTTTAAATATTATTAATTTTTTGTATTAAATATTGAGCACATATGTAGAAATGTGTAAAACAGTTGACAGTTCTAAACAATTTTAATAAATTAGCTGGGCATAGTAGCTCATGCCTATAGCCCTAGCTAGCACTTTGGGAAGCTGGGCGGGTGGAATCACTTGAGGTTAGGTGTTCAAGAACAGCCTGGCCAACATCAGGAAACCCCATCTCTACTAAAAAAAAATTTTTTAAATAAATTAAATGCCAATATGCCCACGCACGCGCGCGCGCGCACACACACACACACACACACACACACTTTGAGACAGGGTCTTGCTCTGTCACCCAGGCTGGAGTACAGTGGCCTGACCAAGGCTCTCTGCAGCCTCAAACTTCTGGGGTTGGGTGATCCTCCCACTTCAATCTCCTGAGTAGCTGGGACCAGAGGTGCATGCCATCACACCTGGCTATTTAAAAACATAAATTTTTGTAGAGACGGGTCTCCATATGTTGCCCAAGCTGGTCTCAAACTCTTGGGTTCAAGCGATCCTCCTACTTTGGCCTCCCAAAGTGCTGGGATTACAGGTGGGAGCACTTGCACCTGGCTTCAAATGCCACCATATTTCTGATTTCTGTCACTTCCAGGCTCACAGACTGTGAGTAAACATTCTGGGCAGATAATCATTTGCAATTGCTTCCAGGGTGGTCTTTGCTGAGTTGTCAAGCTGTGGTCTCAGCGGTAAATGTCAGGTATCTCTGCTGTCGTGGGCCAAGTACCTACTTAAGTTGCTAAGATACCGAGGCTGAGATGAGACAAGGGGCCGGGGCAGGAGTCCCTGCTCTAGCACAGTGATATTAGCTGAGTCCATCGACGAACTTTAAACCTGCTTCCCCTGTGTTGTCTAGACTACAGGGTTTGGACGGCTTTGGAAGATGTGTTCAGAGAACTTTGCCCAAACTGGCCCACGCATGTTTGTTCTAATGCTATGCAGAGCCGTTTATGTTTCTCAGCCAGCTCAGGCCCTCTATTCCTTCCATGCCGGTCTGCGGCCTCCGTTACCCACCTGCTGAGGGCGATCTTCTGGTGGAGCAGAAAGCCCCGCTCGTAGGGCCAGGGCAGGCCGGCCTCGAACCACTCGCGGCAGCGCAGCACGGGCGAGATGCAGGCGGCGCCTGTCACGTAGCTGGAGGAGCCGCACTCGCCCAGGTAGGACAGTAGCAGCGCCGAGCCCGAGCCCTCGCTCACCAAGAACAGCGGCGCCGCCGGGTGTCGGAAGCGGATGTAAGTGACCGCCTCCTTGAGGTCGGACGGGTCCCCGAAAGGCTGCAGCCGGGGGCTGACCAGCGGGCAGCCGTGGTGGCCGCGGCGATGGAAGATAACCGGGTAGTAGCCGCGCTCCAGGGCGAGCAAGCAGAGGCCGAGCACGTTGCGGGTGAGGCGACCCCAGGCATTGGGAATCACCAGAAGCACCGCGGGAAGGCCCCCGGCGCTGGTGATCCGGCGGCCCCGAACACAAGGTCCCACCACCCAGTCCAGGGCCACCAGCCCATCGTCCGCCAACTGCAGGTACTCCCGGGAGAGCTCAGGCCCGGGCGCCACGGGCAGGACGAAGTGGCAGACCGTCTGCAGGTGGGGCCCTGAGAGCCAGGAGCGCGGGCCGGGCTCCAGTGCCGCCGAGCGCCGCAGGGTGCGCAGCAGGCACTGGGCTAAAGCCGACGGCTTGCAGACAAGACTACACCCACCCGGCAGTGGCTCGCGCCCGTCGCTGAACTGATCCGCGGGGCCTCCGCCTTCTGCCTCCTCCTTGTCATCTCGGTTTTGGGCCCCCGGCAGGGTTCTCTTTCCGACGGTGCGCTCCCAGGGACTCCGGAGCCGCGGGCGGAGCAGGCAAAGCAGGGCGAGCATCGCCAAGATGAGCGCGAGGGCGGCGCTCCACGGCAGCATGGCGAGGCCAGAGAGCCCCGGCGGGCGGCGGGCGGCGGGCGGCGGGCGGCCCAGCAGTCTACTTGGAGAGCCCCGCGCTCTGCCTGCGGCTCCGCCTGCCGGCGGCGGCTGCCCGGGACCCTCCCGCGCGGGCGCGCTCTGGATTGGCCGCGGCTACGCAGAGGCAGCCAGTTCGGTCCCGACTCCCCTCGCCCGCCCCCCACCTCCGCCCTCGGCCCTTTGTACAGCGATTGCAACAAGCGAGAGCCGAGGGTGAGAGGAGTCGGGGCCACTAGGGAGGGAGGGCGCGCCAGCAGCCGGAAGGGAGCAGGGAGGGCACGAGCCGGGGAGAGCGGTGCTGGCCAGAGGCGTGGGGAGACTGGAGGCCGAGGCTTGGGGACCCGGGTGTCATCAGGGTCTTTAGACAGACCCTGGGCGCTCCGCCCTCAGAGACCGATGAAGTGAAGCAGAAGGGAGAGGTGAATAAGTCGCAGCTTCGGGCGCCGACTCCTCGGCGTTTGTCTCCACCGCCAGACCCTGCAGCCCCGCAGTTACTAGGCCGGGCGGGGTCCGGCGCTGGGCCAGTGAGGGCGAGCGCGGCGTTCGAGCCGCTGGCGAGAGACTGCTACTTCCCTGACTGCATCAGTGCGGGTCCCACGGAATCCTGGTCCCCGTCCCCGTCCCCGCGAGCTCGGGGCTCCCCATGAAGGAAATCCTCAGCCTTGCTGCCCGGGAGGTAGTTCTCCAGAAGCAGCAGCCCCACGCCTCCGAGAGTCAGTTGGAGAAAAGCACACTCAGGCGTCCTGCGACAGGGATGCCCCTCCGACCTACAAGAAACCCCTTGTAAGCCGGGGTGCATGGGAGACCACGGAAATAACACGTTCTCGCTGTTTCCAAGCTTTGGCATGGCCATCTTGACCCTCGCTCTCTACCCATGTTCTTCTCCCAAATCCTGGAGAGGGGACCAGAACCAGCGCCCCCCCCGGGGGTGAGGCCTGTGGCTTCTCCACCTCGCGGCGACCAATCTCTTTCTGGACGCGCGCCGGCCACCGCTGGGCGACGGCGGAGGTGGGGAACACAGCAGCCCCTCGGCCAGCTCCGACCTCCCGGGGCTTCTGGGTCTGAGGAGTTTGGGGGGCGAAGACCCCTCGAGGCTCCTCTGGGGTCCCTATTTGCGAGGGCGAAAGTGGGGTGGGCTGACGTCAAAGCTTCAGAAGTGGGACCGTCTCCCTTCAGCAGCTCCTCCTGACTTCGTGATTCAGCCCCTCTTCTCGCTGCAGGTCACACAGACAAAATCTGAAGCAGGTTTGCCAGGCGAGCGTACCCGTCTCCCGGGCTTGGGCCACCCGGTCCACAGGGATCCCAATTCCTGCCCTACACCCCGCTCCACAATTCCATCCAGGCGCTGCAGATGTGCTCTGCAGGCTGCAGGGACGCGCTGGTACGAATCCCCGGGCGAGGCGACGAGGTCCCCGCGGCCCTGCAGCGCCTGGAGCGCTAGCCCAGCTAGCTCACGCAACTTTTCCGGCTTCAGGTTTAAGACGCCGGCGCGCACGTTCGGCTGCTGTGGGCGGGCATTGGGGCGGGGCGGGGGCGCCTAGGGGCGGGGCGAGCCCGGGGGCCCGCTTTCTGGGGAGGGGCGGGCGCGAGCTCAGGGCAGGCGGGCGCGCGGGCGGCGCCGGGGCGCTGGGGCTGGAGGGGCGGGACGCGCGCGCTCCCTCGCTGGCTGAGCTAACGACCCGGCCAGGAGCCGTCTGGGATGGCGCCTCCTCTGCCTTCACCCCAGCTGCTTTTTCTGGCCGCTCTAGCGAGGCTTCTGGGTCCCAGCGAGGTAAGGTGATCAGCTCCTCCTGAGAAGGCCTCGGCCCGGGAGCTCAAAGCGCTTTGCCGAAAGTTCGTCCTGGAAGGAGTGGCGCGCCGAGGGGGACGCGGAGTTCTTCCGCTGGCGGGCTGTGCCTGGAAGGAGAGGGCAGGGCCTCGCCGAGTCCAGCGCCCCAGCTCTGCGCTTTGGACCCACAGGTGGTGGCCAGACCGGCGGAGGAGGTGGGAGCCCATTGTTCCGAGGGCCTGTGGCCTCTTCCCCCGCAGGTAGGAGCACTGGAGGGCCCAGGGAGAGAGGGATGTGAAAAGCTAACCCAGTCCCGCTCCGTTCTCGCCGCACCCTCCACAGTCAGTCTTTGGGGACCTCTGCCGGTTCCTCCCGTCCTCAGTAGCCAACTCTCCATCCCAGCCTGGCGCTTGGGGCCTGCTGTCCCCTCCCCATGACACACACACAGAGTCCCCCAACTGCCCTAAGCTCTGTTCTTTCCCCACGTATAGGTGTCACCAAGAGTGACCTCCACACGAGTGAGCCCAGGGAAGGTGAGTACAAGCAGGGGCCCACCCTTGGTGTCCACCCCTGGAGACTGGAGCTCCTAGAAGGCCCCCAATTCCTTACCATTCCTTACCACTTCCCGAAGGCTGAGGCAAGGGTTTTAGTTCTCAGCCCCACCCCAAGCCCAGGACAGATCAGCCCCAGTACAGATGGCCAAGGACCGTGAGCCATAGGCCTGTCACCTGTAATACTGTATCAGGATGCTGTTGGGTAGCTGGCTGTGAGTGGAGCTCTGAGAGTAGCTGGAAGAAGCCCAGGCTCCAGCTACGTGGGGGGACAGCGGGAAGTCTCCTTTGTGGGCCCCAGTTGTCTGTAGGAGAGGGTATTCTGTCCTTGCGTGTGAGCGGCGAGGAAGGGTGTGTGTGGAAGGAGTGTGCCTGTGGTCCCAGGCTCCACACTGCGGGCTCGGCTTCCACGGCGGCTTCCGTCTTCCATCTTCATCGCAGCCCTTCTGATTTTTCCTTTGAAATACCTTTTATTAGTAGTACTAGTAGTAGTATTTGAGATGGAGTCTTCTCTGTTGCCCAGGCTGTAGTGCAGTGGGCCTCACTGCAACCTCTGCCTTCCAGATTCAAGCAATTCTCCTGCCTCAGCCTCCCCAGTAGCTGGGACTACAGGCTCGTGCTGCCACACCCAGCTAAATATTTGTATTTTTAGTAGAGACGGGGTTTCACCATGTTGTCCAGGCTGGTCTCGAACTCCTGACCTCAGGTGATCTGCCTGCTTCAGCCTCTCAAAGTGCTGGGATTTCATGAACCACCATGCCTGGCTTGAAATACCTAATTTAAAAAAAAAATTCTCTGTAATAGCTCCAGGCCAAGAGATGTTGCCTCCCACCGCCTACCAAATTCCTTTCCTCAAACAGCCCTTTCATGAAGTCATTCCTCTGTTCAGAAACCGTCAATGGCTCCTTATTTCCCACCTTATCGTGGCCATACTCTCCAGCCTGGCTTTTCAGGCCTTACTTAAGTAAGCTTTGTCTGATCTCTCCAAATCCTTGGTTCTTCTCCAGTTGTATCAGTCTGCTTGCCACATAAATGAGTGCCAGCCTCACCCCCACCACAGTCCCTTTGCTCCTGTTTATTCTCCACACCTGGGCTATCCTGACTCAAGTGTACAGCTCCCTCCCCTCCTGCCATCCGCCTCCAGCTGTCTTCCAGGCCTCAGCTCCTCCCAAGACCTTATCTGATGGCATCAGCCTTTATTCCTCCCCTCCTCCCCTCCTCTGAATCTATGATAATTTAACAACTAATCACTAAGTTTGTTAGTTTGCTCTTTCATTTGCATTAGTTGTTTCCCTGAGTTTCTTTTTTTTTTTGAGACGGAATTTCACTGTTGTTACCCAGACTGGAGTGCAATGGTGTGATCTTGGCTCACTGCAACCTCCGCCTCCTGGGTTCAAGCAATTCTCCTGCCTCAGCCTCCTGAGTAGCTGAGACTACAGGTGAGCACCACCATGCCCAGTTAATTTTTGTATTTTTAGTAGAGACAGGGTTTCACCTTGTTGACCAGGCTGGTCTCCATCTCTTGACCTCATGATCCACCCGCCTCGGCCTCCCAAAGTGCTGGAATTATAGGCGTGAGCCACCTCGCCTGGCCTTCCCTGAGTTTCTTATACATTCCCTGCAAGCAGAGTCCACGAATTATTTGGCATCTCCCACAGCATCTAGCACAGCACTGAGCATCAAGTCAACTCAATCAGAGAATAATAAGTCCAGGCGTGGTGGCTCACACCTATAATCCCAGCACTTTGGGAGGCCGGGTGGATCATGAGGTCAAGAGATCGAGACCATCCTGGCCAACATGGTGAAACCCTGTCTCTACTAAAAATACAAAAATTAGCTGGGTGTGGTGGCACGAGCCTGTAGTCCCAGCTACTTGGGAGGCTGAGGCAGGAGAGTTGCTTGAACCCAGTTTGGAGGTTGCAGTGAGTTGAGATGGTGCCACTACACTCTAGACTGGTGACTCTATCTCAAAAAAAAGAAAAAGGAATAATGAATGATTGATGGAGTGTTTCCATCCTGAGATTATGTACCTGCTGCCTGTCTGCCCTGTGTTTGGATGCTTTTGGGAGATTGACTGTATAGATTGGTTCAATGTTCTTCATTTGGGGGATGCTTATGGCTTGGATTGTGGACCTGTAGAGCCATTCTTACAGCTTTGGGGAAATATGGCTAGTATGGTCTGAGTCTGGCAGGGTTACCCAGGCATGCTGTGAGCTTTGAAGGGTGGCACTTAATGGAGAGGAAGGGTGAAAGGAACACTCAGAGGCAAGAGCGGGTACATGCCAGTACCTAGGGCCCTTTGTCTTTTTCTGGGCCTTTTGTCCTTTTCTGAGCCATCTGGCCATCCTGGGAGTCCCTTTAAACTGTCCCCCTGGATGGGAGAAGTTGAGATTCTCTGGGAGGGCCCTGGGCCTGCTTTGATGTCTCTGTGCTTTTCCTCCAGGCTGAGGATGTCACCTTCCTCTACCACCCCTGTGCCCACCCCTGGCTGAAGCTCCAGCTTGCCTTCCTGGCCTACGCTTGTATGGCGAACCCCTCCCTCGCCCCTGATTCCAGCCTCACGCAGGATCGGGTATATGGCTGATGAAAGTTGCTTGCCTGTCCCTGGCAGAAGGCTATGGCCCTGTGTGCAGGGAAGGGAAAATTCAAGGGGCTCCTCTTGCTTGTCCCCACCTTCCTCATAGCTCTTAACAGTTACCTCCTCTCATAGCCTCTGGTGCTGACTGCGTGGGGGCTGGCACTGGAGATGGCCTGGGTAGAGCCAGCCTGGGCTACCCACTGGCTGATGAGGAAGTGGAGGAGGAAGCAGAGGAAGAAGACGGCATGGATCTACCATGACAGCCTTTTGGGGCCCCCTCCCTGTATGCCAACCCCGGGTAGAGGGAGGCTGTGCCGGAGAGGGTGTGTGCAGGTGAGAGGTGCTGGGCGCAGGCTTGTTGGTCTCAGGTTCTCTGAGGAGGGCAGCAGGGTGATTGCTGTCTCCCCTCTCCTTAGGCCCTGGCTCTGGCCTTCACTCTGCGGAGCTGGCGGCCCCCTGGCACAGAGGTGACATCTCAAGGGCCCAGGCAGCCCTCTCCCAGTGGTGCCAAGAGGCGGAGGCTTCGGGCTGCCCTTGTTCCCCAGCCAACTCGCTCAGCCCTGAGGTTTCCCTCTGCTTCCCTAGGGAGCTTGAAGACCAAGCAGCCCATGCTGGGAATCCGTGGTAGGGAGAGTAATACCCCATCTGCTCCCACTGCCTCCCTGCTGCCTGAGGCACCTGGAGGCAATGCCAGCTCCAGGACAGAAGTTCAGGTGCCCAGCGGGCAAGGCAGCCCAGGGGGCTGTGTCTGTTCAAGTCAGGCTTTCCCGGCCCCCCACGCGGCAGTGCCTCCACGGGCAGCTCGGGGCCCCACCCCACGCACGGAGGAGGCCGCCTGGGCCGCCATGGCCCTGACCTTCCTGCTGGTGCTGCTCACCCTGGCCACGCTCTGCACACGGCTGCACCGAAACTTCCGACGCGGGGAGAGCATCTACTGGGGGCCCACAGCGGACAGCCAGGACACAGTGGCTGGTGAGGAGTTCCCTCCCCACCCGAGGCCCCCGCCCCATCTTGCGTCGCCCCCCATGGCTTCTCTGCCCTTCCGCCCTTGACTGCTCAGCGCCCGGCCCACAGCTGTGCTGAAGCGGAGGCTGCTGCTGCCCTCGCGACGGGTCAAGCGCTCCCGCCGGAGACCCCTCCTTCCGCCCACGCCGGACAGCGGCCCGGAAGGTGAGAGCTCGGAGTGACGGCCTGGGTCCTGCCACTGTAGCAGCGTGCGACTCCTCCCCGCGCTGCCAGGCTGCGACCTCTGCCACGTGGACCGGGCGCGGCGCGCCCCCTGGTGGCGACGGTGCGGCCCCGGCCGAGCACCGCGGAGGCTTTCCTCTGCGTTTCTCGCGTTGGTTGCAGTGAGCCGCGGCGGAGAGAAAAGGAGTCACTTCTGCCTCCCTTGCCAAAACTCCGTTTCTAATTAAATTATTTTTAGTAGAGTCTGGAGTTTAGCTGGTGCATATGCTGAACAGAGTCACTCCCATCCGGACCCTTGTCCTAGGCAGTGGAGGTGGTGTTTAGGGCAGGGGTTTACCAGTCAGACTGGGCACCGCCAGCCCACCGCCACTGGCCAACCAGCCCCTAGACACGGGGCTTTAGGAGTGTGCTCGTGAGAGGGTGGCTCGTTATCATCATACATGCTAACCTTGTTATTCCCAAACTCCTCTTACGCTAGACAGACGTTCCCCGCACAGGGGCTTCCCTTGGGTGGGGAGACTTAGGCTCTTGCAGCCACCCTTCCTTTCATGTCTGCCACCTCCCTCCAGCCCCTATTCTCTCTCTAGGCATCAGAAATAGCTCATGGTCACTAATTTATTTTTGATACAAATGTACATGACACATGTCTTGACAGTCAGCCCACCCATCACCACACGGGTAGGGCCTGGCCCCCAGGGAAGAGGCTGGATGGGGAGGGAGCTGGTGGGTGCCACCGTCTGCCTCTCCAGCCTTCCCAGGCTGCGACCAGGTTCCCAGGCCTCCAGAGGGTGGGACCACAGCAGGTGCAGATAGTGATGGTGGGTGCTGGCCTCGCAAAGGTTACAGGGAGGGGACTCAGCTCCATAGCCACCAGCTGAGTCAGGGACCCCGGGGAGCCAGCCCCAGGCTCAGGTGCTCAGTCCTCTGCCCTGGCCAGCACAGGTTCCCCCTCCACACAGGAGTGGGAGGAGATGGAGGGAAGTGGTTTTCAATTTAAGTTCATAGAGAAGAGGCAACAGTGGGGAGGGATCAGGGAGGCAGCGGGCAGGACCACAGCTGGTTACCTGGGTAGCCCTGGCTCCAGGTGGGGAAGAGAAGCTGACCCCCATGCTGGTCCCACTGCTCTGGTCCCATCACCCCTCAAAACTCCAGATGGACCAGGCCTCCGGAACGGCACTGCCGCCCGCACACTCACACGCAGGCACGCAGGGATACTCAGTTACCACAAAGTTAAAATTAAGGGGTGGGAAAGAAGAAAGGGAAAAAAAAGACTTTCCAGTGTTTGCTGCTGGGAACCCCAGCACACAGGTTGGGGCCTTTGCCCTAGGCAGGGGCCGTTTGGCATTAAAGGGAGAGCAGCAAGGGGCTGGTGGCTACAGGGCAGGGACATCCATAGAGACTATGTACAAAGGAGGGGATGCCCCCGCTCAGCCCCCAGTAGGGCTGAACTGGCTCATGGGGGTGGGGCGTGTGTGGGGAGAGCTGCCCCACTTGGAGTGTCCCCACCCGCCCCTTTGCTGAGGGTGCCCTAGAGGGCCAGGGACTGGGAGTGATGCCTTGCAGGCCCCTGCTCACTAGGAGGTGGGAGATGCTATATACAGGGGAGAGGTGCATGGAATGTGGGGGACAGAAGCTGCTGCCACCCCACCTCCTCATCCTTAGGGGCTCAACAGGGGTGGGCACCAGGGCGCCTGACTGCCAGTGAGAGTGGCAGCACTAAGGGCACTTGTGCCAGTGGCTCTGTTGGGGTGGAGGTTCAGGTCTGGAGTGGCCCAGCTCCTGTGGCCAGTGAGGTCCTAGGGTGCAGGTGAGGGTGTGGGGAGAGAGGTCACTGCTTCTTCTCTCGGGTGGTGATGGTGACCAGCTGCTTGGCAGCCTTGGCGATGTCGTAGGCGCACTGTATCACCTGCTGAGTCAGCAGCTGGAAGTCCACTGGGGCGCCAGGCTCTGGGGGCACTGTCTTCCGGCATTCACTCTGCAGCCGGTAGGCGCTGGCGTTGAGCAGGCGCAGTGAGCTCCGCACTGGCTCCAAGGCTGGCCTCTGGAGGGTGGGGGAGTGAGGCTGGACCTTAGACTTTAAGCCACCAGCTGCGATCAGGGCCCAGTTTGTCTGAGTCTCCCAGGTAGCAGTCAGATGGGATTCTCCACATTTGCCCCAGCCCGAGGCTCCCCACTCCTGGTCCTTTCTTTGGCCCCTGTACCTTTGGGAAGAGGGAGGCCATCTCGGTCACAGCCAAATGGATCTTCTCTGAGCAGGGCACAAAGCTTCGGGGAGAAGGGAGGGTATAAATTAGGGGGCTCTCGAGGGAGGTTCCCAGGGACACCAGAACATAGGGCCCCTCGTGCCCTCTACAACACCCCAGAAGCCAACAGGAACCACACCCCCAACCCTGTACCTGTCATGCTTGAACTCTTGGGCTGCCCGCAACAGTTCCTGAATGTTCTTGGTGACCTGCTCAGTCTTCAAGATGACATCCTCTGTGCTGGGAAGCCCAGGATCTAGGTCTCCATCCAGGCTTTCCAACTCTGGGTGGAAGTCTTCCTCTTTGCCCAGCTCTAGAAACCTCTTCCCTTCCAGTCTAAGGCCCAGGTCCAGAACAAGAGAGAGAGATCAAGAAATGTTCCAGCCTTGGAGCCAACTGCCTAGGTCCTCACAGACACGCTGGGGGCCCTCCCAACCTCCCTGCCTCAGCATGTGAGCAGGTTGGGCTGGAGACCCAAGGAGCCTCACCCAAGCAGCGGGTCCCCACTTTGCGTGTTCTCATAGTCACTGTCAGCTCCACTGCCGTGGCGGGAAAGCTTGCTCTGGAGGGTGGAGGTAAGGGGCGGTGAGTACATGTGTTCCTGGAACCACATGGCCCCCAGCCACCCTTTGAGCACTGGGCATGGAAATGTTACCGTGTGGCGGCTTCCTTCCTGGGAGCAGGATAGCAGTGGAGAGGAGGGAGTGAAGGGCACAGCCGAGGCAGACACCCCCTTCCGGATCTGAAACCCAGGGCAATGCTGGATGGAGTCAGAGTGCCCCATAGCACCCGCTTGCCGGAAGTCTAATCATCTTAGGCCCCACATTCAGCACAGAGCCCAGCACCCCCTGGGGCTCAGAACCTACTGGCTAAGATGGACCTGCTTTCCCCAGGCCTTGCTTACCCGGTAAAGGCCAGCAGGGACGTGCACTGAATAGATCGCGTCGTCCTCTAGCTCCTGGGGATGTTAGCACAGTGAGAGTCACGGTGGACCCTGTGGCAGCCCTACCCATTTCCCCACGCTGTGAGACCCACAGGTGACTCACGGTGCTGTGGAAAGGCTGCAGCCGCGTAGTGAGCTCGTCCCCAGGTGGGCCCCCGAAGGGCTTCAGGGCGGAGCCTGGTTCGTACATGGAGAAGGCCTGGCGGTCCCTGCGATGTGAGCTCCCGCCTGGCGCCATGGGTGTGTGTTCTGCCCGTTCACTGGGGAGTGGGGGTGTGGGCACCGGCCCTGGAGTTTGCCGGAGCTGCAGATTCTCCGCCTGCAGCTTGTGGATCTGTGGGTGCAAAGTGCTGTCAACCCCCTGGAGTCCTGGGGCTCCCCCTCCCTCCCACTGAGGCTGCACCCTCACCTCTCGCTGCAACCTCCGGAGCTCATCGCTCAGGCTACTATTGACCTTCATGAGCTGCTGCACCTTTGCCTCCGAGGTAGCCAGGGCCTTCTTCAGCTCCAGGTACTCCTGCAGTGTCACAGCCCCATCAGACAGGTCCGAGGAGTCCATGCTCTGCAGAGAGAGACCTAAGCTGATCAGAGCTGGAGGCAGGGGAGCCAACACCCGCAGGGGGCAGTTATTAAGGTTATGAGCAGCCCGCCTGTCCCCCAGGCCCCTGGGCTACAAGAGGACAGAGCTGGGCCTTGGTGGAGCGGGCAGGAGAGCTGGGGAGGGCAGCCCTCGGACCCGGGCGCGGTTGCTTCGAGTGGCGCCGGTGCTGCGCAGGGGCTCCTGGTCTGTGTCCTCGTCAGAGGCCACGCTGTCGTAGTCGTGCTGGTCATCGAGGTCACTCTGGCTCCGCATAGACAGCTCAAGGTTGTCTGAGGACACAGGGCTGTCACTTAGGCCTCACTCCAGCACACGACCTGTCTTTCAGGCCACCCCCGGCAGGGAGAGCCATGCAGGAGAGGCCCCTGGAGCCCCACCCGCTGCCCACAACACCCCCCCCACCTGTGGGGCTGCTCAGGCTCTTGCCCTGCTGTCTCCGCTTGGCCTCACTGAGAATGTCGATGATCAAAGTGGCAAACTCTCGGGCATTAAAGCGGGCCAGCTTCTGTCGCCCCTGCAAGGCAGAAAGGGCCAGGCTGGCCTCAGGGGACTCCTTATGACTGATGGATGGGGGTAGGGACCAAGAAGCAAGGCATGGCCCTGCCATCTAATTTAACCCCAGCTAAAGCACCCCAGCCCAGCTTTACCTGGCCAGTCAACAGCCTAGGCCACCTGGGGCCGGGTATGACAGAGGAGGGTGCCTGGGCAGAGGCCGGAACGCCTGCTGGAGCTGCTCACCAGGTGCTCAAAAGAATAGTCTCCTGCCCCTTCCCAAATCCCAGTGCCAGCTGGGCCCTGAGGGAGGCCTTAGCAAATGTTGGAGAGCTGGCTTAGGCCCTAGCCCACTGCCAGATGAGGAGGGACCACGGGGATGAAGGAGACCACCCTAGGCCCCCAACCCAGCCCCCTCACCTGATTCCGAGTGGCTGAATATTCCGGGTTAACAGGCAGGAAGGGCACAGCACTGCGCTCGGTCACCAGAGTGCTGTGGTTTTGGGTAGCCAGCCACACTAGGGGGGAGGGAAAGGAGCAGATCAGCCACGGTGGCCAGGCCCCCACGGTGTGGGTAGGGAAGCACTGAGCCTGGCCTAGCTGCCCCCACGCCCACTGAGCACTGGGGTGTTCAGAGCAAGGGTGGTCTTAGGCACGCAGAGCTAGGCTGAGCCAGGGCAAGCCTGGGTGTGGCTTGCTGGGGACGGACAAACGGAACAAGGCCGGTCCCACCCAGCCAGACCTAGAGTTTGGGCTGAAATCTGGCTGTGGCCACGAAGGAGGGATGCGGAGGGGCGGAGCAATACAGGGAGACAGCCCTCCCACAGGGAGACAGCCAAAGTGGGAGGCTGCCAGAGCGAGAGGAGCCCCAGTCTGAGGCTGGGGGAGGAGCAAGCTAGCCGCCTCCCCTCCAGCACTCCACCCAGCCTGGGAGCTGCCCAGGCAGGCTCACAGCCAGCAGGGGCT